TAAAAAAATTGTTAAAATTAAATCGATCTATAAATACATGAAAATCTTAAAAATGAACGTTCCAGATAATGTATTGCAAAATGTACTATTTCTAAAACTCAAAAACATTTTTTTTTATGTTCATACATCCCAATGTTGAGATGATCGGAAGGGTTTATTCAACATTAAAACAACATTTTCGATAGCTTTTTGAGGTGCATGATTCTTACATTTTAAAGTTACAGCCTTATATAAATTTTTTTCATATAAAATTACTTAAACATTGGAAGCCAAAGCCATATATTTTGTTGGACATGTGTCCGGTAATGCAGAAGCCAACATATGGGGAAATCAAAAGCCACGTGTACAACTCAAGATGTGGGTAAATCATGAGCCTCGTGTCTCACATCGGCAACTCAACATTTGAATGGCTTATTGGTTGGCCACCACTATGCTTTTTAAATTGAAAAAGTTCAAAATTATAACGGGTACGGATTCTTTAAAATGCAACTTTAACCGATCCAAGGTGCACCTTAAAATTTTATTATTACATGTAATTTTGTTATTAAATTTTTTTATTATTTTAAAATCTATTTTTATATCTAACTAAAAAATTTTAAAATTTAAAAATAGTTAAAATCAAATAGATCTATTATATGAAAATTTTGAAAATAAACGGTCTAAATAAATCTATTATATAAAAATTTGAAAAATAAACGGTCTAAATAATACGTTGCAAGATGCACTATTTTTAAAACGTAAAAACCTTTTTTTTTTTTATATTCGAACATCTCAATGTTGAAATGATCCATTAAAAAGTTTTTTCAACATTAAAACAATATTTCCGATAGATTTATGAAATACATTTGTGATTCTACATTTTAAAGTTACAACCCTATATAAATTTTTTCCAATTATAAATTTAAAAATTAAAAAAAAACGGAACCACCACTATGCTTTTTTAATTGAAAAAGTTAAGAATTATAAATTCAAAAATTAAAAAGCAAAGGAACTAATTGATGCATCCAATTATCTTTGAGCTTTTTTAATTGAAAAAGCTTAAGACTTATAAATTAAAAAAATTAAAAGCACAAGATCTGGTTGAAGCATCCGTTATCTCTAAGCTTTTTTAGTTGAACTAGTTGAGAGTTACAGAATTAAAAACTGAAAAACATAGGAACCACTTGAGGCATCAAGTTCTCTATGCGCTCTTTTAATTGAAAAATTTGAGAACTATAACATTAAAAATTAAAAAAATCAGTTAAAAGTTCCCTATGACAAAACTGGTACGAACTACTTTGAATAGATCGATTTTAGGGAATTTATCGGAATCTCGATATATTACAAGATCCATAATTGATAAGAAAAAATTTGATCGGCATCCCCCATTTTTCAAACCTTGATATAAACGTCACCCATTTTATTTTCATAAAAAAATAAGCCAAACGTCTTTTGCTTCTCTAGGGGCCGAACTACCAACTACATACCTCGAGAATTGCTTGTTGGGCTCAGCTATCTATCATGTCGAAGCAAGTTTAAACTTGCACTACAAGTAATATGCACCTCAAGACTTTATTGAAAAATGACATTTTGTGATATGGATAACGCACCAATCGATCTTTTTTACAAGATTTAAATGACATTTCATTAAAAACTTCCAAGATTTAAATTTTCCATATACTCAACTTCCAACCATAAACATAATTTCTAATTGAGAGAGATATAAATTAAAAAAAAAAAATTATATTATCTCGAGTGCTCAAATTTAGTTGGTCAGCGTTTCTTGTACGGTTACGTCCAAGGTCCAATTTCCACCTCAGGCTTCTGTTTCTAAGGAGGAGGGGAGGTGTTTTCCGGCATTGACCATAGCCTCGAGGTTCTTAAGGGAGGATCCACCCACTCTAAGCGCCCGGGCCGCACTGTCCTTAACGGCCGCCATCCGCTCCCTGATCCGCTTCCCGACCTCCGACTCCATGAGCTCCCGCACACACCGAGCCACCTCCTCGGCCTTCACGAATCCGTCGTCTCCCCTCTCGACCGCAACCGCCAGCCCCATCTCCCCCACCATCAGAAATGCGTTCATTGCCTGCTCTGCATAAATGGGCCATGCTGCCATTGGCACCCCCGCGCACACGCTCTCCAGCACAGAATTCCACCCGCAGTGGCTCACGAACCCCCCCACAGCTGCACAGCTGAGCACCGCCGCCTGCGAGGCCCATGACTTCATCACCAAGCCTTTATCGGCTGTACGCTGCAGGAACCCCTGTGGCAAAAGCTCCTCAAGGTCAGGCTCTGAGGGCCGGAGTCTCTTGGTCCTGTCATTGTCCTCCCTCGGAGGACTTCGCACCACCCAAAGAAATCGTTGCCCGCTGTTTTCGAGTCCGACTGCGATCTCCCGTATCTGTGCCTCGGAGAACCTCCCCACGCTGCCGAAGGAGAGGAAGACTACACTGCCCGCCGGTTGAGAGTCCAGCCACTGTAGTGTGTCATTGTCACCACCACTCCGGTCTTCGCCACCAACAAGAGGCCCAATCCAGTAGACCGGAGGTCGAGGGACACCTCCATGAGTGTGATCCATGAGGGCCTGCAGGGCTTTCAATCCGAGGGGCTCGAGCTCTTCGAATGAGTTCAACAGGATGCCTTTCCCTTGAGGTACCTTCGCTGAATGGTAGAGGAACCACTCATAGACCTTTTTATTTCGATCCTGCATCACCTCTGGAATGAGTGATGGCGGCAAGGGTGGTAGGCCCGGGAGCACAAGGTCGCAGGCGAGGTCGCGAAATTTCCCAGGATTTTGCTTGTTAAGCTCTGGGAAATAGAGGAACACGGTCAGGAAAGCGGCGGCCGATGCATAGAAGAAGTAGGCCGGCACGCCGAGGTCAGTGGCCACATCGAGAGCGGTGCTGCAAAAGCTGTCCATGACAAAGGCGCGAATCACAGTCTTCTCGGATATCGACTGGAGGGCTTGTGCTACGGCAGGCTTGCAGAGGAGGAGCCACTCGAACATGAAGGTCAAGCTATGGTCGATTTGTGTCACCGAGAGCTCGACAGGAGGGAGCTCAATGAAGGTGATGGCCTGAATTTCAGAGGCGACGCGGCTCATGTAGGGGGCGGTGGCGCCGGTCTCGAAGGGCGGTGTGGTGATGAGGATGGTGATGGAGAAGGACGGGTGGTGGCGGAGGATGAGCTTGCCGAGCTCCACCATGGGGATTAAGTGGCCGATGCCAGGAGAAGGAAAAAAAACCATTGTTTCACACATCATCACAGCCTCTGCTCAACACATCGATTACTTCCAATCGAATGCAAACTTAAGTTTTTTTAGGGTTTGTCATTCATCATTGAGGGTCAGATTCACGCCACCTGGTTTGTGATTCAGAGGGTCAGATTCAGGCCACCTGGTTTGTAATTCAGAGGGTCAGATTCATGCCAACTGGCCCATTTTTGAAACAGTTGCAGGAATAAATCCTACTTTATCTAAAGCTTAGGCTCTAAACAATGAAATTAGAACCTATCTTCAAATAGTATTTAGAAATGTGGTTTCAATACTGTAAATTTTTGTGATAGCTTTAAAATATAATTTTATTTTTATTTATAACGTTTAAAGCTTTAAAAATAGTGTAGTTCAATAGATCTATGAAAACTTGAAAATTGAAAGTTTAAAATGTATTACAAAATACACTATTTTCAAAATTTGAAATATTTTTTTTTCTCATGTCCTTGCATCTTGATGTCAAGATAATGCATCAAAACGATTTCTTCTAGTATGATTTTTGTGGTAGGCTTCAATTTAATTGTTTAAAGCCTCGGCTCTATATAAACTTTTCTTCAAATAAAGTAAATCCTGGTATCAAATCTTTATTTGAAAAGCACTTTCGGCATCCAAATCTTTAGGGTGGCTCTAAAATTGATTTTCAATACGAATTATGAAATTTGAAGATTAAAAAATGGTATAAAGCTTGTAAATCCGTGGACACATATTTTTAGGGTAAATGGTCGGTCTAGACAATGTGTCGCAATGTACATTATTTTTAAGATTTACAATCTTAATGTTTTTTCACAATCATAATGGTCATGGCTAAGATGATTGATTTAAAGGTTTTTGGACAACGCTATAATTTTTGGTGAGTTTTAAATTGTGCTTTTACTTATTTTGACAGGACCGCAGCCCTATCAAAACGTTTTCCAATTTTAAATCTTAAAACGAATGCCTCATAGTAAACATGGCGGCTTGTCACATCTAAGTTTAGAGGAAGTTTTAAAAAGCTGTCATGTATAGTAGAAATAAGGGATACCTCAAAAACTTACTAGAACATATTATTCTTATACTGCAAAACCTGCAAATCGATCATCTTGGCCTTCGGATATATGGATATAAAAAAGTTTTATTTCAAGTCTTGAAAATATTGCATCTTGCAGTGCATTATCTGAACCATCCATTTCAAACATATCAAGCATTTATAGATCTATTCAATCTCCACTATTTTCAGAGCTTTAAATTTCACATTAGGGACAAAAATAACTTTTTAGGCCGTTACAAAAATCTCTAATACCAAAATTACAACGTTTAACATAATTCAAAGGCATGCCTTATTTGGATTGTTTAAGGTTGACGCTTTACGCAAACTACGCCCTTCAAGTTTTGGCCCATAATAATACTCTCTGTAGTTTTGGCCCCTAATAATACTTTTTGTAGAACCTAGAGAGGAACAAGGTTCGTGTTGAATGAGAGAGGGATTCTTGCCAATTTCATTTAAGCATTTTTTCGTTTTTGGGTAATTCAATGGGCCTCCTATCCATTTTCTCAAATAGATTAAAAGTTAGTTTTTTGAAGTTGTCAAATTTAATGTCATTGAAAACCATAATGTAGTGACTAAGATGTAGGGGTGCCATCACACCCCAAACCCTTTTCCCAATATTTCATTTAAACGTAATGCCATGCTAATAATGGCGTTCTTAATTGCTCTCCCCCATTAAAATGGGAAAATGTACCCTTATAAAATTCAAAATTCCCCATGCTGAGATGTTCCATAATAATATGTAGATGAATAGGGTTTGACTCTTGTATTACTAAATAATGATGCCTTTAGCGAACAAATTGGTTCATCAGAGACTATCAATTTTACCAGCAAGAGGGCCATAGAGTGTGGGGACACGAGTGCTCGTTAAGACTCTTGTTATGATTTGGATATGAGCCATAAAGAATAAGGATTGTTTATAAAAGAAATTATTTATCTTTTATAAATAGAAGTCACAATTATTTTCACTCATTAGATGTTAAATTGGATGGTTTGGAATGAGTAGCGAAATCCTAAAAATTTTTAATTTGGAACTTTGTGTCTACTCAATCACACTCTTACAACCACCTATTTTAAAACTGAAGGGATAAGAATGATTGTGACCTATATGTATAAAAGATAAATAATCTATTTGTAGACAATCCTTAAAAAATATGTCATATCGAGCGAGAATGTAGAGGACTGCGAGGGCAGATGCCAAAGTCGGATGAGGTTTCTATTAGGCCTAGGTTTTATGAAATCAAAATAAAGTCTCACCTCAAATCTCGTCCAGAAAGCCCTTTCGGCAACGAAAATCTCCATAATGGCTCGAAAATCAATTTTCAATACCGACAATGAAAATTGAAATTAAAAAAATGGTACAGATCCTATGGATCTATGAATACTTTTTTAGGGCGAAATAGATGATCTAGATAATTTTTTATAATATACACTACGTTTAGAGATTGAAATCCTTTTTTTTTTTTCACAAACATAATAGTCAAACTAAGATGATTGATGTAAAGGTTTTACAATGCTCCAATTGCAATTTTCTATGAGTTATGAAGGGAGGCTTTCCTTGTTTTGATGGGCTGCAACCCTATCAAGTCATTTTCCAAGTCTAAATACACCATGCATTCATCTACGTGTGTGTTTATTGAGAGATGACCCACCCTCCATGGTGTACATGTCTAGAAGGATTTACAACTGAAATTTACAGCAACTGCAAGAATTATTTACAACTGAAATCTACAACAATATGGCAGTCTATGTATTTTCTGGTATGCTTTTATAGGCCAATCATGAGCTTCTACAAGCTAGACTGATAAGTCCTGAGCTATATTGAATTAGATCGACAGATGTGATGGGACTGCATAGTTAACACACACGTTATTTGATAAGTCATGAGCTTTATTGAATTAGATCGACAGATGTGATGGGACTGCATAGTTAACACACACGTTATTTGTATCGATCTTGAATCAAAATTTGTAGTGATCCATTATCTAGACTATGATGATCATGAATATAAAAAATAAATTATAATAGCATAAAATTTTAAAACATTTTTACTAAAATTTTTTCCTATCCATTAGATAGGAATCTTTAGTTGTGGGTGTTCATCTTAAAGGTGGACGTTTGTGATTGTGCGGGCTAGTGAGTTCCCCAACTCACAAAACACTTTTCATTTTTAAAAATTAGCATATTTGCACTTTTTAACTTTCTCTTTTCATAATAGTCATTATAGATGATAATTTTTTTCTGTTTCATGCCTAATTATAAGTATGCGTGTTATCCCATGACATGCTAACTTTTTCTAGTTTCTCTAATATTTTAAAGTTTTAGCATACTTGCACTTTTTAAATTTCTATTTTCATAATAGCCATGATAACATAATGCTTTGTTCTCGTAAAAGATAAGCGTCAATGCTAGACTATATCTTGCAATCATCTCGCTAAAGCGATCTTATAATTATATTTTCGTCCTCAGCAAAAGTACGAAGTATTAATATACGGAGATAGACTACAAAGATACCAATTATCTTTTTGAGGATTAGATTGAAAATTGGATGGTTTGGAATGAGTTATGAAGTTCAAGATTTTTTTTTTTAATTTTATATCTATTTAATGATAATGGTTTCTTTGTAGACAATCTCTAATATATATAGGTTCGAGACACAATACACGTATGTGAACCGTGTATGTGGCACACAAACGACGTCAAGATTCCATATGCCTCATGTGGACCTAGGGCTGGGAATGGGGCGACCGGTGCTGGCCTTGATCCCTATAGGGTAGGCCTAGGCCCATCCCGACCCTTCTCTGATAGGGCCAAAAAGGCACTGGCTTAAGTCCAACCTAACCCTTTGGAGGCAAGGCAGGGCCGAGTTGAGCCAAATGGGAAAAAAAATGAAAAAAATTAAAAATAAAAAAAACAAAGGGCGGGACCAAAGAAACAATAATTGTGAAATTTCAACAATGGGAACAAAATCCCAAAGAGAATAAAAATGATTTAGTTGTTCCGTTGACACATAGAGGAAGCAACATATGGAGGTGACACAATATTATCAATGCGGTGGTAGGCTTGAAATCAACTCCATCAATGATACAAATCATGACGTCCGAAGTTCAATGTTACAAGAAGGTCCACCACTACAACCGGTTCTTTGGAAGACAAAATGATTAACAAAGGTCCACAAGTCTATCGAAAACTGAGAAACTTACAATCAGGAAGTGAACCAGGAAACTCCTTCCTAATGTGAAATGAGGAGGAAGAGGATCGGTCAAAATGGCTAGTGACTCCAACGGATACATTGAGCCCCCTTTGTTATTCAAGAGAAAAAAGACCCCGGTTCGGATAGGTTATGTTATAAAGAGACTTCCTCATTTACAGTCTAACCCTATCCTGGCCCAAGTTTGGCCCTGGCCCACCCTAGGACCATATTTTGTGGCGGAGGTCCAAATTTTGAAGGGTCGGGCCACTCAGCCCTGGTCCACCTTCGGGCCATATTTTGTTGTTGCTGACCTAATTTTTAGGGCTGGGCCACCCAACCATTGCCACCATTATGTGGACTCAACTTGCCATGGGTCCTATGTGAAAAGCCTTTTTGGTGAGTTCTAACTCTAGAAGGGAAAATTGTTTCATGCAGGTTGGACCGCATTTCTACATATGTGGTCCAGAAGCATCTATCGTAAAGATGAATGCAAGTAGGTGTTCCATCTAAAAATAATGAAAAATAACGGTCCAAATGTTTTCTTATTAGAACTATTATTTCTAGTTTTTAAAATTTATTTATTTTTTCATATTCATGCTTTCCATGCTAGAGATTATATGTTTTTAAAAATTAAGTCTTAAAATCCATCTCCAAAATAGATTTATTAAGAGGCCCTCATTTTTACATATGCGGGCTTGGCCGTATAGAAACCGCGTCCTTCTAAAAGTATTTAGAGTCCACATGATTAAGAGTTTTCATTCTCCAAGAAATCCATTCGGAATTAAAAGTTAAGGAGAATTCTTTGGAAGGAGGATTACTGTTTTGGAGAAGGATTAAGCTTTAGGAAAGTCTTCTGAGTTCTACTAATATTGCAAAAAACGGTAAAAGTCTTTTCTGAACAAAGAGTTCTTTCAAAGTTAAATTCAGCTAAATTTAGACCTAAATTAATCTAACCTTGAAAAGTCCAAGCACTTTAAACTTTTTAAAACTAATCC